TTCCTTGTCTCCTCAGATATGCTGCTACAAGAGACAGGCATTGGTAAAGACTCTGGGTGTAGGGGAGAGGTCAAATGGCAACACTCTGTATCAGAAATGATATTGACCAAGTGTAAAGCAAAGATATTTGTGATGAGAAGGTCTTGTAGAAATAAGGAAGTACACATCCTTGAGATCGAGAGCAGCAAGCCAAACTAGAGTAGAAAGGAAGGGGGATAATTAATTACAAAGGTTAGCGTTCTGAACTGAAACGTTCTGATGTATCTATTCAGTCTTCTGAGACCAAGAAGTGGTTTGAGTCCTCCGTCCAATGGGATCAGAAAATAATGAGTATTAAAATTCCCTGCTTTGGGAACTTACTGGGAATTCCTCTGTTGCTCCTACTTGTAATAGAGCTTTTATTTTACTCTGGGTATCTTCTTGTAGAATGGTCTCTGATAAAGGAGAGGGGAAGGGGATTGTATGGAGGAAGGGATTTAAACTGAATGGTATAACCTTCCTTCTTTGTGTCTAAAACGCATCTATCTAAGGTAACTGTTTTCCATACATTGTAAATATGAGACAAATGGTCTCTAAAGATATGGATGGCATTTTCTAAGACTGCTTCAAAACTCTTGACTGGTATATCAAACCTTGGTCTGATGCTGGGTAATGAGAATATACCTGAAGAATTTTTATCGCCCCTTCAATATAAGAGATCTGGACTTGGATCTTTGTACCACTGCTACCACAACAAGTGAATCAGAGGGAGGTGAACATGAAAACAAGAAAAACCTGTTTATGGAATCTGGTATAGTTTGTCGCCTTTTTTGAAATTGGCTGACACAAAGATGGATTGGACCAGACTGCTTTTGCTGGTTGTCAAAGCCCTTCTAATATTGGTAAAGATATTTTATTTCTTGTAGGACCTAATATTTTGAAAACCAGGATGGTTATTTTAAAATTGACGCTATTCTGGCTACTAGTTCAAGGAACTGAATAGCATTTTCTGAAGGAGAACACACTCCTACATTCTTGGCCAGAGATGAACCACTATCTAATTCAATTTCTTGTTTTTGAAATTCAACTGGAGGGGATGTATCTCCCTCTTCTTCCAAAAGTGTATCTTGTACTAAGTTACTGTATCTATTGGTTCTGATTGTATAGGACCCAATCACCTCAGATTCACAGATTTAGGCTTTCCTTTATCAGGAACCAAACAGTCAGACTTTCCTATAGGGCAAGGATAAGTGGGAATTGGTCAGTATGGCCAAGGCATCTATAGTGGCATGTGCCAGTTCTGCCAGTTGCTCCAGTCCAGCATCATATCATGTGCCTGTTGCATAGAAGGTCCTGGAGTGTCCATCTAGGGAGGAAAACCCTGCCTCAGGGAAGTTTGTTGAACTTTGGGTAACATTACTGGATCCAATTCCTGAGTGCGAATCTGATCCTGGATCTATTGTTCTTCATGTCCACTGGGGAAAGTAATCAGCTTAATCTGCAGCAAGGGAAATTTAGATTCAATATTAGGAAAACTTTCTAACCTTAAGGATAGAAAAGTACAGAAATAAGTTACCAAGAAAGGCTGTGGAATCCCTGTCAGTTGAGGTTTTAAAGAATATGTTGGACAAACACCTGTCAGGGACGGTCTAGGTCAGTGGTTCTCAGCTGTGTGCTTAAGGCCACAGGGCCCACATGGCTGGGGTCCAGGCCGCCAGGGCTGCCTGGCCTTGTGGGGCCCAGGGCTGCTGGGGCTGCTCTGCCTTGCCGCATGGTGGGGCCTGGGGCTGCTCTGCTGCCCAGCTCTGCAGTGGAGTCCGCTCCTGGCCCCGCTCTGTTGAGCGGTCTCTGGGTTGGGGCAGGCACTGGGCATAGAGAAGCGCAATGGTTCTCAACCTGTGGCCCAGGCAACACACTGTGGGCCGCATATGTGGCCCACAATGATAAGTAGGTTGAGAACCACTGGTCTAGGTATACTTAGTCCTGCCTCATCATGGGGAGATGGACTAGACGACATCTTGAGGTTCCTTCCAGCCCTACATTTTTATGATTCTACAGTGGCCAGTCAAAGTCTTCCATTAAGCCATGAGGTAGACGGAAACATATACAATGAATATGGCGGGATCCCAGTGAATGGTCGAACATCACAACACAAAGCCTTCTAGAAAATCTTTCATATTATTTTCTTTGGGCCCGAGCACACATGGTCAGGCCTTGATGTCATTTTCTTCCAGGTAGAAATAGCTGTTTGCAAACATCAAAAGAAGCATTTTTTATTACTCAAAAATATCCTGGTCAATTTTGCATTTGAGCAGAAATGGTAACCACTCTCCTCCTCCCTTCCCCACCAAAAAACCCACCCCAAAACAAAATATAAACAAAGCTATTTGCACTCTGGTTCTAAATATTTTTTAACAACGTAGAACATATTTTAAGATTACAATTACATGTTCCAGTGGAAAACAAAAATATCGTTTTGAGTTGCATATTCGTGCATGTAGACACTATAGACTTAATTAAATGTTTTTTGTTTACCAAGACTAATAAAGTGTAACAAAGCTAAATCCAATGCATAACAACTTAATTATGTCTCAGAGGTAACCATTTTGCCCAGTTTCAGTGAGCAAGAGTATTTATTTGTGCTGACAAAAACAGTCCACTAATACTGAATACTCTGCTGGAGCACTTCAGAGTAATATATTGGGAAACTGATAAAGTAGGTAGATGTAATGGAGTTAAGATTAAATAAAAATAAAAATATATTAACTAAAATAGTGTTTTGGGAGAATAGTTTTACCAAAAAAAAAAAAAAGTTATAATGCCACAGTAACTTCACTTTCAACATTACTTAACACAGGGCTAGATTTGTCCCTGGTATATCCTCACTGATGTCAGTGAGGTTAAATCAGTGATGAGTGTGGTCCACTCTGGATACCTACTAATTTCTCTCTCAGACACATGTACAACAAAGGAGATTTTGGTTTTACCTTGAATACTGAATTTCTGCATAGTGGGCTAACTAATCTGAAATGGGCTTCTCCCTAGTTATCTCCTAATGGTGAGTCCCATCCAAATGGTTGTTAGGCTTTTCAGGTTCTAGCCTCCTCCCATGTAGAACAGCCTGACTAAAGAACAAGTTGATAACTTTCTCTGCACCTATAGCAAATAACTCCGGAATAAAAACAACCACAATTTGAGCAATATCTACATTGCTGAGGCTTCCAGATTGTTGGTCCCATTCTGCAGAAATTCAGTTAAGAACCAAAATGCCTTTTTTGCTAAGCTGGAAACCCATCTGAAATGGGCTATAAACAGCAGTACCCTGTTCTTCCTGCACCATAATATAAGAACAAGGGGACAGTCAATAACATAAAAAGGTGAGAAATTCAAAACAGATAAAAGGAAATACTTTTTCAAACAATGTGTAATTGGGCCATGGAACTGATTGCCACATGAAATCATTAAATCCAGAAACTTAACAAGATTTGAAAAGAGATTGGGCATTCATATACATATCAAGAATATTCAGAGTTACCATAATTAATGGCAACAAAATGTTGTGGAAAGCATATTAAACCCCATGTTATAGGGAGTAAGCCAATCTTTGACTACAAAAAATAAGCATGAGATCTATTATGGGGCATACTCTAAAGTTCTTATATGTTCCTCTGAAGCCCCTGGTACGGGCCACTGTTGTTAACAGGATATTGGACTAGATGGACTCCAAGTCTGATCCAGCATGACAATTCATATGTTTCTTGTACTTAAATTCCAAGGTGAAATCCGGACACCATTTAAATACATCTAAATTTCTCCGTTAAACTTAACAGGACTACGATTACACCCCAAGATTTTAGAAAGAGCCTGCTTGAATGACTGGACCACTGGGTCTCAGGAGAGCAGAGCTGCAATTTGGAGCAGGTCCAAAGGGACCCAGCCAACAAGGTTAACAGCAGTAAGTAATCACGACCTGAGTAGGCAATTAGTATCAGGGATCCTAGGACCAATTTTTCCTTCCTCAAAAGATAGGTAACGTGTATGTGAGGGGACATGCCCCTCAACCTCCCATGGTTGAGAATGCTTCCATGGTCCAAGCAATGAGCTCCTTGTATCGACTGCAGAAACTCAGAACATGGTGAGGCTTACACTCTCTGATATTGCAAAAAGTCATTATTGGATTCACCCAATGATTACAGGCCAAATTGAGGATCTCCTGGTTTGGCATCAGTTGTTCTGGGAGCAGAGTCTGGGATTTAGCCAATCCACTTGGAAATGAAGAGATCCCACCAAGTGAGTCACACTGGCCTCATCTTCACAAGGAATAAAGGTGTGTTTTTAATATGTGTTAACTGATAGAAGTCAACTAATGTGCTAAAATCTTAGTGAAGACAGGCAATTAATATTTTTTCACGTTAGCTGGTTGAAGGAAACCCTAGACTCTCCTCTGTGCTCTACCTTCACCATCTTACATGTTAAAACTTACAACTCACCAACCGTAATCAGGATACAGGAGAATGTGACCTTTGTTGTCACAGTCTTCCTTCATTGCCTCCCCTTTGCCAGAGTCTTTCACTGTGGCATGGAAAGGCTCTTGCACCAGGACACCACACTGCTAAAAACAGTAGAGTTGATATGGAGGCACTACTGAGGATGCAGAGATCCATGCAGGGTACTGGCCTATCTCTACTATACTTACCTAAGCTGGGGCTCACTTTCTACATTGCTGTTTATACCCATGCTAGCTGGGTGAGCACTGTCTGCAGTCTACATGCTGTGTGCTTGAGTAGACCTACCCATAGTGGACAAGTGTTCTGTGTATTATGTACTGAACTTTTTCATAATATCCAGATGGTTTTCAGATTTGCTCTGTATCTTATGGTATGGATGTGAAAAATGAACTGTAGGACCCTGCCATGCAACATGATACTGTAAGATATAAGATCATATTTCTGCTGTGCCAATCCTAGTTCCAATGGCTATTAAGAAAAAAGAATTAAAACTTCAAATTTTTATGAACTTACGTGATACAGTGGAACAGTGTTGCTTTCAGCTAGTGAGAAATTCAAGACATCTTGCTGCCCAGGTTCCAGCCTAACGCTAACAGTAGATGTCAACATAGATGGGCTAATTGGATAGTTCGGGCTACTTGTGTTTTTGCCCTTTTTCCTTGACCTGCGGCCTGTGTCTCTCTTGTTGTCTTTCTGTGTCATAGGCTCTTCTTGGATCACCAAGATCTTGTCATCACTCAGGTATCGCAGGAGTGAATTCTCCGAATCAGTTGTTGAAGGAAGAAGAAAAGAAATATGAATAAGACAAAAAAACAAACACACAAAATATAACCAGGCTACACTTTTATACTTACCCACTCAAGCACACGTCTGTGCAAAAATAAAGCCGCACCTTAAACAGGGTAATAATGGATGTTGCAATATGACATTTCAAATGGAGACTACAACCTGCAGTCTTTTATTCACGTGGGTGTTGTCTAGAGAGTGTTTTACTAAGACATGGTAAATGGAACACAGCTATTATCTCAATCTTTCACAGCCCTTTGATCCAAAATGCTTGCTGCTCTTGAGAAAAGCAGTCCTTACTAAGTCAGAGTTCACTAGCATACAGGGGGCCACATAAAGCCATTGTTCTATAATGGCATGGTAACTACAAGTGAACATTACCTTGTTTCTTTCCCCCTGGAAACAGATGGAGACAACAGTAATTGATTCTGCGGTTTCATTTACAGCACAAAGCCTCAAAAAATCTTGACTTTTTTTTGAGTTAACAAATACGCTGGACTTTGTGCATTAAAGCTGTGAATCACTGAGACTCCTACTCCGATAGTTTTTCTCAAACTGTAAGCCCTTATCAGCTCTCGGCTGAACAATTCTGGAGCCCCGTCTTTTTCAATTTTTTTGGCTATGCAGTTTAGTTAACTCTTTCAGTACATTTTAGACTACAGCATAATATATGCCCACAGATACTCTAATGAAAGCAAATGTGCCATCATCTAGCAATGAGGTTCTCTGATGGTTCTCTTTTAGGTTTGTATAGCTGACAGATCCAAAATCCTGCCTAGCGGATTCTAGAATGTTAGTCATGAAGACATTTGACTAGAAGATTTTGAGAAGGGTATTTGGTAGAGCTGGTCAGAAGTTTTCTGATGGAATGTTTTTCTGCTGGAAAATGTTTCGATCAACCCCAAATGAATTTTTTAAATTTTGTTTTTCAGGAAATTTTAAATATTTTTGTTTTCATTGTGTTTCATAATGCAGATTCACCTTTGAAATGGCCGCCCAGCTCTAGTGTTTTGGAAAAGTATGGCTTCCTGTACTTGGATCAACAGTAATTAATAAAAGTTAACAAGTAAATCAGAACAGTAACTGAGCTTAAGATGACAGGTTTCAGAGGAACAGCCGTGTTAGTCTGTATTCGCAAAAAGAAAAGGAGTACTTGTGGCACCTTAGAGACTAACCAATTTATTTGAGCATGAGCTTTCGTGAGCTACAGCTCACTTCATCAGATGCATACCATGCATCTGATGAAGTGAGCTGTAGCTCACGAAAGCTCATGCTCAAATAAATTGGTTAGTCTCTAAGGTGCCACAAGTACTCCTTTTCTTTTTGAGCTTAAGATAACTGTGCATGGAGGAAATAATCATTCTATAGGCTTCCACAGACTTCCATCATAGTTCCCTCCCATTGTTTGTCCCTGTCTGCCCGCACAGTGTCGAAAGGCAACTAACACCGCCAGGCTGCTGCTGGCCACCAACATAACGCAGCCGCCTTCTGTTTCCCAGCTACAGCATGGGCAGGAAGGGGTTAACACTTAGGGCCCAGAGAACCTGACTGCAGAGGTTTCAGCAGCCACAGAGCCTGGCCAGAGAGGTGGCTCAGCAGGGGAAGGTGCCTAGAGGATGGAGCAGCCCTGCGCTCCCTGGGGACAGGACCTAGGGCGGTGGGGGTGGGGACGGGCAAAGAGGGTGCTGATCCCCTGCCCAGGGGGCTGCTGTGGAGCCCACAGGGTCGGGGTGGGACCAGGCTGGAAATTGCTTCCCCCCCACTCCAGAGCTTAGCGCAGGGCTTTGGCACATGCAGGGCTCAGCTCCTCCTGGCCTGCAAACCGGGTCCGAGGGTCTTGGGCTTTCCCAGGGTGCCACCCCAGCCAGAGGCAGTGGGGGAAGGAAGGAGCCGGCCAGACAGCTGAGCTGAGCGCTCCAACCCGGGGCTGGTTCTCTGCTCAGCGCTGGGAGCAGGACGCGCCCCGCTGGGGGGATATGGAGGAACAGCGGGGCTGAGGAGGGGGTGAAGGGGCAAAGCAGGGAGAGGACAGCAAGAGGGGAAGCACAAAAGGGGCCGATGGGTGGGCAGCAGAGATGACACCTAACCAACCACCGCCTGGCACTCATCAGATGCCCCAGCTTGCAGTGTGCAGCCAGAGCCATCTGGAAAGGGGACAGGGTCCTGCTGGTTGAGAGCTAGGGTTGCCAGGTGTCCGGTTTTCAACCGGAACGCATGGTCGAAAAGGGACCCTAGTGGCTACAAAGTCAGCACCACTGACTAGGCTGCTAAAAGTCCAGTCGGCAGCGCAGTGGGGCAAAAGCAGGCTCCCATCCCTATGTGGCTCCCAGAAGCGGCAACATGTCCCTCTGGCCGAGGGGCAGCCACGGGGACTCCGTGTGCTGTCCCCGCCCTGAGTGCTGGCTCCTCAGCTCCCATTGGCCAGGAACCATGGCCAAGGGGAGCTGCGGGGGTTGCGCCTGTGGGTCCAGGAAGTGTGCAGAGCCCCCTGGCCCCTCCACCTAGGAGCTGAACATGCCGCCACTTCTGAGAGCTGCCTGAGGTAAGCACTAACTGGCCGGAGCCAGCATCCTACACCCTCTCCTGCACCCCAACCCCTTGCCCCAGCCCTGAGCCCCCTCCCACACCCAAACTCCCTCCCAGAGCCTACAACCAACATCCTCTTCCCACACCCCAACCTCCTGTCCCAGGCCTGAGCCCACTCCTGCACCCAAACTCCCTCCTATAGCCCTCACCCCCTCCCACATCCCAACCTCCTGTCCCTGCCCTGAGCCCCCTCCTGCGTTCCAAACTCTTCATTTCTGGCCCTACCCTGGAGCCTGCACCCCCTCCCACATCCCAACCCTCTGCCCCAGCCTGGTGAAAGTGAGTGAGGGTGGGGTAGAGCGAGCAATGGAGGGGGGATGGAGTGAGCAGGGGTGGGGCCTCAGAAAGGGGCAGGGCAGGGAGCAGGGCAAAGGTGTTCAGTTTTGTGTGATTAGAAAGTTGGCAATCCTACTGAGAGCCTGCATGCAGCAGGGGCTGCGCTGAGAGACTGGCAGGTGGAGGGGCCGAGCCCTGCATGCTGCAGCTTCACTCCACCACCAGCCTTGCACACTCACCCACATCATCAGTCACTGGACCGCCTCACTCACTACAGGTGGGTGAGCAGCTGGCGAGCAGGGATCCTCATGGCGGGGAAGCAGAAAATATAGGACAATTTACCCACTTTTAAGAAATGTTGGGACACCTGCAGGAGGGCTTAAAAATTTGACTGTCCTGTTAAAAATGGGATATCTGGTCACCCTACCACTAACAGCTAAGAGAGATGAGGAACAGTCGGCAAGTTTCATCCACCACCAATCAAAGCTGAAACGTGACAAATACATTCTTTTAGCTATTGGTACTATTTCTACCACCAACCTTCTTCCCGAAGGCCCAACCCTGAATCCTTTTTTCTCCAAAATACTCACTGAAATCAGTGGCAGCTTGAACACTCAGGGACTGCCAGACTGAGCCTTGATGTTGCAGTTTCATGACTAGGTCATCAAAGTGGACTCTAAGTACATCAGTTTGTATGTATAATGTGGGTATGGAATCATACTGAATGAATATATTTTGAAGTTTTATATATCATTCGCAATTATCTGAGCCATATAGTCACTCGGGCATTTGGAAAGGTATTTTATTTTTTATTACAATTAAAGAGACTAGAACGCCTTAACTGACAGAATTCTATTTTAATTTTCAGGAAAGCAGAAGTAACAGGACAGTTAGTAGACCCTTCTATACTCTCCATGGCACTCATGAGAACTACAGCAGGTGTCTGTGATGCATATTTTCATCTTTTTTAAAGAACAGAGAGAAAAATCTTGGATCACAGCAATGGAGAAGGTACTCACCTCGACTGCCTCTCTTGTACATGTTTGGTTCTTTTGACTCTCCGATCCAGCTGAACTCTGTAGGCATAGAAACAGGCCTCAAGTCACCTGGAAACAATCAAAGAGGAACCATTTTAATTTTTGCAACTCATTAATAAAAGGTTGTTGTATGATAGAATAATTAATGCCTGTAAACTGGTTAAAAAAATCACCCTCCAGTTTTATTAGCATCCATTTATTAAGGTTACAGCTCCCTGAAGCTTTTAAATATCATGGGTCAGATTCTGCTTTTTGTTATGATGATTTAAATGTAAACTCCATTGATTTCAGTGCAGTTATTCCTTATTGTAATTGAGATTAGAGTTTTGCTGTATAGCTATCTCCTGCAAGAGAGTTCCCAGCTCAGCAAGCAGATGATTTTGAATGAAGGAAAAAAAGCTTTCTGAAGTGGCTAACATGCTTTGATAAAATTAGAAAGGTCACTGATTCACCCACAATAATTCAGAGCTCTCAGTCTAAAAACAGTAACATCAATCTTGTAACACATATCTGACTCTGAAAGGTACATGCTGGCTGATGCGGGCATCTTTTACCTACATAGAAAGTGGACTAACTGCAAACGCCTTGAGGAAAACAAAGGACACCTTGTTAAAAACAGAGATTCAGAAATGGTGGTTTCCACTAGTCTGACCTTTACTGTAATATCTGCACTACAACCATGCTGAATGAACCAGTAGTAGTTATGGTAGCAAGGCCATTAAATTAGGAATACTGACTACGGGGGGATAATCTTTTTTGACCTTGATTATCATCATTGAACACACAGAACCACCCTCTAGATCAGGGGTGGCCAATCTGTGGCTCCAGAGCCACATGCGGCTCTTCAGAAGTTAATATGCAGCTCCTTGTATAGGCACTGACTCCGGGACTGGAGCTACAGGTGCCAACTTTCCAATGTGCCACAGGGGTGCTCACTGCTCAAACCCTGGCTCTGCCACAGGCCCTGCCCGCAATCCACCCCTTCCCACCCCCACCCCTGAGCCTGCTATGCCCTCGCTCCTCCCCCTTCCCCCAGAGCCTCCTGCATGCCACGAAACTGCCGATCAGGAGGTGCGGGAAGGGAGAGGGAGGTGCTGATCAGTGGGGCTGCTGGTGGGTGGGAGGCTCTGGGAGCTGGTGGGGGAGATGATGGGGAGTTGCTGATGTATTACTGTGGCTCTTTGGCAATGTACATTAGTAAATTCTGGCTCCTTCTCAGGCTCAGATTGACCACCCCTGCTCTAGATCATGAGTCAACTCCTCATGTGTTAGGATATAGATATTCAGGCCTGTCTGTAAAGGCCTATACTCTAAGAATTTAGGTGTATTCTTATCTCTTAGCTAGTTCTAGAAGTATAAAAGAAAGAATCAAAATCACTGTCTGCCGCTGTAAAGGCCCTTTCTCACTGACAGTCTGAGGCCCTGTTCTTAGGCTAAGATCTTTGGCTAAGCAGCAGAGGCAGCCATAAGCTGGGAAGTGACTGGTCACATCCTCACATTCCGAACTAGTCACACTGAAAGAAGGTGCTATTGGGCTGTTAGGAATACAATCCTTTCCTGATAATGCCTATCACCTCCAGAGAAAGGGAAGTGCCTAGAAGATGTAAAAGGAAAGCTGGTTTGATAGCATCGTGTCTGGCAAGCTTATCAATAGCATCGTGTCTGGCAAGCTTATCAATAGACACAGCTGGGAAACCCTTATGTCTTTATAGATGTAGTTGTGAAATCCTCACTTCTGTATTGCTTTGTCATTATAGTTCCCACTTTGCTATTGTTTATTTGCATGGTCTCTGTCTGGTTCTGTGATTGTTTCTGTCTGCTGTACAATTAATTTTTCTGGGTGTAAACTAATTAAGGTAATGGGATATAATTGGTTAAATAATCATGTTACAATATGTTAGGATTGGTTAGTTAAATTTCAGTAAAATGATAGGTTAAGGTATAGCTAAGCAGAACTCAAGTTTTACTATATAGTCTGCAGTCAATCAGGAAGTAAGGGGGGAAATGGGAACAGGGAATGGGAGTGGCGAATTGGAATCAGGTTTTGCTAAGGGGGGGATGGGAACAGGGAATGGGCATGGGGAAATTGGAATCATGTTTTGCTAAGGGGGGGGGAATGGGAACAGGGACACAGGTAAGGCTCTGTGGTGTCAGAGCTGGGAAGGTGGACACTAAGGAAGGAAACTGGAATTGTGCTTGCTGGAAGTTCACCCCAATAAATGTTGAATTGTTTGCACCTTTGGACTTCGGGTATTGTTGCTCTCTGTTCATGCGAGAAGGACCAGGGAAGTAAGTGGGTGAAGGAATAAGCCCCCTAGCATCATGGAATGAAAAAAAACATTCCAAAAGCCAAGCTGAGTCTAGTTCTGTGGTCTGCTTGTTTCAGAATCAAGTTATTTTCTGAAACATTAAACATTGCCCAACTATCTTGTTCCTAAAATAATCACATATCTGAAAACACTGTACATAAAAGTTTCTTTTCTTGTTTCCAGTAGCTCATTTCCTCAATTCTACTGTTCATTACTGAAAAAAAGCACTTATGGTGCATAGCTACTGTACTGATGGATGAATGGACTTTGTTATTTATGGATATGTGAAACATCTTCACTGAATGGTCTATATTAACTAAGCTGTCACTAATTTATAATATTACAACATAATAATTAATAATTTATTTTTATAGGAAGATTTCTTTCATAATAATCCTGTCCTATAAATAATAAGATATTATTTACCTTTCTCCATTGTTCTAATGGCACTTTTCCTTAACCATCTTTTTAAAAATATAATTATAATAAAAGGCATTTTGAGTATTTCTTATTTGGATTTTCTCTGACTTGGATTTTTCCTGTTATATTTTCTTAAATACCTTTGGTTTCAGTTTTATGTGTAATGCCTTTCAACATTTGTAAAGACTGGATTGGGCACTGCACCTTAGAAGAACTGAACAAGATTAAGCAGATTGTCCATCAAAATTAATTAAAAGGATACAGGTAGGCCAAACTTGACAGCAAGTTTTAGATTTTGTAACAATAAACTTTTACAAAACTCGAGATCAATAAAAATCCTTCTGTGAAGTTAAAAGAAATCATTCAAACTGCAAACATTTTTAAAAAAACAAATAATCATTCTCTTCCAGGGTTTGCAACTCAAACATGGCAGCACTATGCTAAGTGTATAAGATCCTGAAAGTAAAATGGACTAGAAACTGATTCATAATAACTATGAATGCAGTGTCAAATTTGTGTGATAATGCTTTATAGTTATTATTTCTTACCTAGTACAATATGTGAGAGGAATACTCCAGTGCAGGGGCGGTGAGTTATATGGGCCCATGGTGCCCGGGCTCCAGAAAATTCAGGGCCCGGGGGGTTTGGTTTCACCAATGTTCAGGGCCGGGTCTTTCCCCCAGCCCCGCCTTCCACCCCTGCATGCTTCCCCCAACCGTCCCTGCCTGCCCTGGGCAGCAGGCGGCTGCCCCTGCAGCTCTGCACTGTGCTCCCTCGCCAGCTGCTGCTGCTGCCAGCTACAACTTAGGGAGCAGCACTGGGGGCAGGCTGAGATGGCTGCTGTACTTGCGGAGGGAGGAGGTGCATGGCAGCCCTCACCCACCTCAGCAGGCAATTCTGAGTCAACTCTGGGGGGCGACTTATCCTGGCTGGACCTCCTGAGCAGCAGCCTGGGGGGGCTTGGGTGAGTGTCATGCTGGGGGGGCTAGGGAGGGCCCCCCCCCTCGGCTCGCTGCTGCCGGCGGGGAGAGGGCTGAGGGAAGTCCTCCTGTCTGAACCCCTGCCCCAGGCCTGGGGCAGCCTGCCTGCTGCACCCTAAACTCTTCATCCCCGGCCCAGTCCCACACCCCACATCCGAACCCTCTGCCCCAGTCCAGAGCCTGCACCCAGCACCCAACTCCCCTCCCACACCCAAACTCTCTCCCAGAGCTTGCACCTCAAACCCCCTCCTGCACCCAAACTCCCTCCCAGAGCCCACCCCCGACATACAACCCCAGTGCCCCAGCCCAGAGCCTGTACCTAGCACCCAAACTCCATCCCAGAGCCCACACCCAAACTTCCTCCCAGAGCCTGAACCCCGAACTCCCTCCTTTACCCAGACTCCTTTCCAGAGCCTTAGGAAGGTGTGTGTGTGTGTGTGGTGGTGGATGGAGTTGGACCAGTTCTGGGCACCACCAAAAATTATACAAACCTGCCACCCCTGCTCCAGTGGTAGATCTAACTTTCATAAACAGACTCACAGGTACCTCTCTTTTTCGAGGGTTAAACAAAAGTTTTATTTGTCCTTCCGTGAGATGGAAAAGGATGTGCACAAAACACTGCAGGTTTAGCCTCAGCACATGGAGCTTAGCATTCAGGTTCAGGCCACCAGAAGCTTCCAGTGTATAAATTACCCACACTCAAACTCAGGAACTGTTTTTTCTGGCCCATCTCCTGTTCTGACTGGTCCCAGATTCTGCCTTCTTAACAACTTAGTCCAATAAAAGATATCTCTCCCAACTTGTCTCGCTAATATCCTGAGATCAACATGGCTACCACAACCCTGCAAGAGTAAATCAGGGAAATTATTCCCTGAGTTTTCTACCTAATTGTTGTTAAGGCAACCCAACTGATTCCCAGGTGTCAGTATTCTCTGCTGCTCTGTTCAACTGAGAGGAAGAAAGCATGAAAGGAACTAGAATAGAAAAATGCTGCAGCGTAAACAAATATAATAGGGTTGGGGGAAGACAAAACAAGACAATCTTTTCATACTCTATTTGTATCACATTCAGTCCCTTAATCATTCCACAACACAAGAGTCTTATAAACTACAGAAACCTCCTGTAATGGATCCAATCCCACAAAGCACCAGATAACTCTCTCACAATGTGCACGTACTTTACAATACTGATAAAGACAGATTGTAATTTCTTAGGTGCAGGCAAGCTAAATTAAAATGAGGATCCCTATATAGTCTCCCAATAACAGAATTTCTTTCCTTTTTGTTTCTCTTCTTTCCTCTCCACACTTATGTTATTTTATCATTTCTCATTGTATTATCTTTGCCACACGAGACTGTAA